TTCTTTATTTTTATTTATTTATTTTAAAAAGTTGTTATACATTTTTCTATTACAATAAAAAAGGTTGCAAGGGAAATCAAATTTCCAGTTTTTTGCGCGAATAATAAATTAGGTTTTCGTGACTGTCGTAGTATACATGCAGGCAGAATCCAAGAAATTATAATCGATCGTATTTTGTTAAATGATTTGTAAGAAAAATAAACTTATTGCTTGTTTTCTTTTTATATTTATTCTATTTTTATCCTGTTTAGTTCGAGATGGATCCTTACCTATGGGAATCCGGATACATCAACTTACATTCTGTTTTAACTTTTTTTATAATTTCAATAACAGATGCCGCCACTGATACTGTTAATCGAGAAAGATTTTTTTTTTTTTTTCCTTCCCTTTTTCAGTTTTAGTTTAGATTTTATTCACATGTTGGTAAGATGAGTAATATTTATGTTTGGCAATATGGCCATTGAAATTTCAATTACTCATTTATAATTCAATTAAAAATATTTTTATGTTATCTACAAATCATGCTCTGTTAAATCAATTAAAGAAATAAAAGTAAATGTCCGGTAAGATTTTGAAAACTTATTTGTTTGCTAAGTTGTCATTATTTTCATTTTCCCACATTGTATTAGTTTCTATAATAAATTTAATGATATTCTACTTAATTTTTATGATTTTTCCATTACATAAGTTTATGATTTATTTAGGGTTCATTCCACATTCAAAAAATTTAAAAAAAACTCAAATCGAAATAATTAATTTTTAAACCATTTTATAATATTTTATGTATAATTAAATACTTGATTTTAAAAAAAATAGGCTTTAAAATAATAAAACTAAAAGTTTTTAAATAAATAAATCCCATTCTATATCCATTAAATATTTAAATTCTCTATTCTATTTCTATTTATGCTATTCTATTTCTATTCTATTTATGAGGGAAATACTATTTTCCCTCATAAATATCAGGATTCTCATATAAGTTATTACGTTTATAATTTTTGGCATTAATTAATATTTATTTGATACAGTAAAATACTATGCCGCGGAGGAAATTGTATAATAACCGCAGAAACCAAATTGTCTTTTTTTTAATAAGCAGTAGCGAAATCTATTATTGACATTTTCTGATATAACTTAGAAATAAAATCGAAAAAGGTAACAGCAGCACTTTTAAAAATGTATTTCAATAAGAAAAATACTTTTTCGGGGTGAATAATTTATGAAAAACTATTCTATACAGATAACTGATATACAATTATATCAAAATTTGTCACAACCATTAAATGAATGAAACTTACAAAACTCAGCTTGCAACACTTCTGCGAAAAAGAAATAAATTATTACTTTACAGTATATCTTATTATTTATTTCTATACTATTCACTAAAAAGTTATTCAAATTTCAAGTAATTTTTTTTTTAAATAATAAGAATTAAAAAAAGAAATTCCGTTCTAGCCTATTTTGTAGAGAGAAAGTCCAAGATCGATATAAAAGCCATGGCAACGAAAAAAGGCAAAAATATAAAATCAGATAAATTTTGATGTTCTTAGCACTTTGGTGATAATTCGTTTTTTTTTAATTTTTTTTATCCTTTTCACGTTCTGAACTCTAGGGCATCGTCTATAATACTCTAGTAGAGTTCAATTATTACTCATTGATTCTTAATCACATATCTATACATGCCTAACAAAAATATTGATAAATTGTAATTTACTGAAATAAATATGAATAATAATTGCATAAAGTAGTTAAATTTTTTACATACATTAGAAAAATTAAAACAAAGGGTTTTTTTTCCCTTTCCGAACAGCAAAATTTAAAAAAAAATGCTTAGTGGCGCCATCTGTTGGCTCTTATAACAGATCATGATGTACTAAATTAATGCTACCAGACAAAGATAAGATAAACGCAAAATTATGGAAATAACTAAATTCCTTATCATAACAACAAACTTAAATAAATTTTCATTTTCATACCATGCATTCTTTTTTTTTTATAAAGGAGAAAAAATTTTCATAAAATGTTGAAAAGCTATGAAGAATGTCATCAATACGGTGATATTTTTTGTTTGACAATATTACTAAAAATTCACTTGCCATTTAAGTTTGCATTTTACTGTACATTTAATGAAGAAATCAGTATTCTATAATATAAAATACTGAATTATCATTCATAGTTTTAAAATGCCAATAACTCAACTACAAAAATTTTGAAATTAGATTTTCGCTGTAATATCATTATGAAAATATTAGTAACGCGAAGAATTATGAGTTTTTATTTATTATTTTATCTGATATAAAAGCTTTTCTTTTGTTATTTTAACATTTTACAAGAATAAAATAAGGTCCCATATTGGTTATTAAAAGTTATACTACTATATGTTGCGTACTATACGATATACATAGTTTATTAAAAATCATAACTTGCCATAAAAATGATTACTCAGCATAACGATTAATTATTTTAATTAACTACATTGAAAAATTGATGAGATAGATTAATTTTACTGAAAACTAAATTCACTAAAAATTAATTAGTTATTAAAATATTTAATCTATTAATTTATATTAAACTTTGATAAATTAAAACGGTTAATCGATAGATAATATTGATTAATTTGATATCGAAATAATAACAGTCACTGCTATTTGTCATTGTTACTTTTGGGTCCCAGTAGCAGAAGTAACAGTGACTGAGACGTAGCAGTTTTGCCCACCTCTAGTATCCAGTAGATTGTTGCTTTAACGTTACATTTTATATGATACTTATAATTTTTTATATTTAGTGGTGAAAAAATTACTTAAAAGGAAAAATACTAAACTGAAAGTAACTTGAATTTCGCTACCACTAGAAAATACTGTTTTACAAAGTGGAGCAAGTTGGCATCTCTAGCGATGCCGTAGATAGCTCACCTCACGCGTTTTAAAAATTTCTTAAATAACAGTTTTTATGTACTTTAAAATAATAAATGGTAATTATTAATAGTAAATTATAAATGATTATAATCAATTCTATAAATAACAGTTAATTATAAATATAAGACAAATATTAAATTGAAAGGACTAAATAAATACAACTTATGTAAAATTTTATGTATTTTAATACAGTAATTACTTAACACGTTCAGGCCGGGGTGACCCACCGGTGGGTCACGCTAGATTAGGGGTTTCCAAACTTTTTTGATCATCGACCCCTACATAATTTTTCGAAATCTCCATCGACCCCCATAAAAGTAATTTTCTGTTAATTAAAATAAAACTCTATTAAATACTGCGTTTGTACATTTATTTTACGATTTTGAACATTTATTTAAGTAATAGTACATAGTGTAACAATAGTTTTATGAAAAATATATTAATGTTGAAATATAAATACCTTAATATTTATGAAATAATGAGTAATTATAAGTAAGTAGAAATAATAAGTAAAGTAACTATAAACCAACGATCGATTCAGGTAGTGGTTTCGCGAAATTTCTGTTATAACTGCATCCATGGTCATGCAATTTTATTCAGGCCTAGTCTTCTTACAGACCTCAGAAGATAGAGAAATTTCCCCCACTTTAAGTTATAAGTTTTTTTTTTCTTTCTTTTCAAGAGAGAGTTCAAAACATACCAGAAAGTGCAAATAAAAACGTAATTTCTGGGTAAAAATGTTAGGGGATCGAAAACAATTACACAGCTGATTCGATTTAGAAGGACAAATGCAAATTTAGAACCAAAACGCAGTTGAAATAGTCTCATCTTCAAATGAGTAAATTGTACAANAAAACGGTACGCTATCGTTCGGATCGACCCCCTGGCTCAGATCGACCCCCGCTTATGTTAAATAGACCCCTGGGGGTCTATATAGACCACTTTGGCGACCCCTGCGCTAGATTGTCTCATCGGGCGCCGCACCGTAGTAAAAACTGGTAACAAATAAATTTCATTTTTTACTTTTTTTTCGGGAATAATAAGAACTCATAACTACCAATTGTTTTTAACAGATGCAATTTTTATATTGAATTGCTTCTTCAAAACCGGCGTGAACGTGTTAAATACTCTGAGCAAAGTCTTCATCAGACTGAAAACTTAATAAGCTTTCTGTATCAAAATCATCATAATTATCTAATTTTCGCCTTTCAGCCATTTTACTTTTCAAACACGCTAAAAAAAAGCGCCAAAATAAGCATAAAAAGAACAAGGTAAAAAAATAAATTCCCCCTTCGTTATGAAAAGAAATTCATGGAACCCGTACTGCCATCTGTAGGCAGTAAAACTAACTACGTTTCGCTAGTAGGATTCGTTTTTTAACGTAGTCGATGCAGAATAATAACGAACTCAGCTCGTCACCTCGCATTGGGGAAAAATTTCACTACGCGAGTAGTGCTCGTTAGTCGAAATCTTGCTCCCGAGCGGAACTCGCTTGAGCGCATTATGAAGCACGATTCGATTGCGAGCCAAACTCGTTCATAACCGTCAAAGGGTTAAACTACTAATCCGATTGCGACCGGGATGCTCAAGTTTAATGTAACTGAAAAATAATTATATGTTGAAATGAATAATTTAAAAATGTTTAATCCCCTTATTTTTCCGTTTTACATTAACACCTGTGTTCTTTACTGGTGGCGTTACTACTTCAAACAATGAAATAAAGGTAAGGTATCACTTACCTTGCTGTTCTTAATAATATTCGAAGCTGAAACGTCAACCTGAGATTCTATTACCGGGTTGGCAGAAACAATATATTTAATAATAAATATCTAAGTACGAATGAAGACCAAGCTAATTAATATTTTAGTGTAATTTAATAAACATAACGATAAAAGATGAACAACAAAAGTAGATGAATAATAAAAAAAAGTGAAAAGCGCCAAGCGCTTGTATCAAGTGACCGTTCACATTCAAATTGTTCTTAAAAGTTATTGAGTCTTACTCGTATTCGCTAGGGGGCTCTCGCATCTTTCGATGAGGCTGCAACATACTCCCTCCGATTTGTTTACTGGCAGAAAACAAATCTTATTTTTCAATGGGTCTGATGGTTCTGCCGTATCTGGATACATAGGGTAAGGCTCTGGATACACTGGCTGCAGGTTGCATAGATTCAGAGGAACTGCTAGGAGAATCTGTAAAGGAAGAAGCTGGAAAGAGAAATGGATTAGTGTTCGGTTCACTTATCTCAAGAGGAAACAAGCGTTGTAAAGGTCTTAGAAATGTTCCATTTTCAGTTTTAACTTTGGCAAGTCTCACAACTTTGTCTTTTCCAGGCAACAGTTCAATGATCTTCGTTAATGGCCAATGGATTCGACGCTTGTTGATGTCTTCAATTAAAACTACGTCGCCAACTGTAAGTTGATCAATCTTGTTGACTCTTGAGGCTTGATACCGTAGCTGTCCTAAGTACTCAATTCGACATCTTCTTCGAAGATCATCTCTAATTCCCTGCCGATATTTGGCTCTCTTATTTAATCCTTTGGAATCAATGTTGTCGATATCAGGAACTCCAGAGGAAGGCAAATCTTGCAAAAACATCATGGGTGTCAAGGGGGATGGATCTTTGTTATCTTCAGAAACATAGGTGATTGGACGGGAATTGATAACTTGCTCACAGTCACAAAGAATTGTGTTCAGCTCTTCATAATTCAAAGAGGTGCGACCTAGTACTTTTCTTAAGATTTCTTTGACCATACGTACTAGTCTCTCCCACCACGCAGCAGTAGGTGGATTGAACTTGAATCGGATCTTTTGTGCGGATGTAGCAGCACTTATTTCTTTCCAATTTAACTTTTCTAGAAGTTTGTTGGCACCAACAAAACTAGTACCGTTATCACAATAAATAACGTAAGGTCTGACACGTCTCGAAATGAATCGCCTTAATGATAGAAGGAAAGTTTCGGTTGATAGTGAAGTCACAAGTTCCAGATGAATTGCGCGATAGACGGCGCAAGTGTACAATACAATCCAGGCTTTAGATTTATTTGAGAGATAGAGAGGGCCTGCAAGATCTACTCCAATAATCTCAAATATCGCTGCCTCTTTAACTCTGTCTTCAGGTGGTATGCCTGGTTCAATCTCAATTCTGTGTGCTTGAAATCTCTTACATTTGATGCATTTTCGGATGACATTTCTTATGGTCTTCCTAGACTTCAATATCCAAACATTTTCTTTAAGGTGAGCCATTAACATGCTGACTCCAGCGTGATGTTTTTCTAGATGTTTCTCGAGAATCAGTCTTTGTACTACTGGATGACTTGATGGTAGGATGACAGGATAAAGAAAGTTCTTTTCATCTTTTCGTTGTATAATACTCGTTTTTGCTCTAAATAGACCATTTTCGTCTTCAATAGGTCTTAATGCTTTGATGGATGGATCTTGTGTGCCAGTGAAGGATTCTTTTTGGATGAGCTTGAAAAGTCTTCTTTCTGCTTTCTCCAATTCATCAACTGAAAGTTCTGAGGATAAATTTTTTTCAGAATTTCTACAGTTGTAAAGCAGTCGCAATATCCAGGCTATCATTCTCACTATTTTCCGGTATGAAGAGAAATAGTGGTAGTACCAGTCAGGCTTATGTTCTTTGTCTAAGAGGCTCAAAACTGTTTTCCTTTTTTCTTTATTTAGAACATCTTCATCGGGCTGTTCTTCAGCATGAGGCCATTCTTTTTCTGGTAGATAGAGCCATATGGGGCCCTCCCACCATCTTGATTCCAATAACTGCTCAAAAGAACATCCACGGGAAGGCAGGTCCGCAGGGTTGTACTTTCCTGGCACGTGCTTCCAATCAGAAATTTTCGTTGAAGTTCTTATTTCCTGGACTCTATTGTGAACAAATGTTCCCCACGTTTGATCTCGTCTTATCCATCCTAGAGCTGTGGATGAGTCACTCCAGAATATTGTTCTACAATACTCAAGTCTTAAGTCTGTTAAGATGGTTTTAGCAAGTCTGGCTCCAATCAGACATGATAGGAGTTCTAGTCGTGGTATTGTTATTTCTTTAATCGGTGCAACTCGGCTTCTAGCATTTACTAGCTGTACGTGAACACCTTTATTTTCAGTTCTCAAAAATGCACAAGTGGCAAAAGCTTGTTTACTCGCATCAGTAAAAATATGTAGTGTTGTAGTGTATTCATTTTGGTAATCTATATTGAGCCAACGAGGAATTCCTATTTTCGGTAGTAAATCTAATTTCTTAATCCAAGTGCTGAATTGTTTACTCAAATTTGGAGGAAGTTGTTGATCCCACTTTATTTTTTGAATCCAAGTCTGTTGTAAGATGCCGATGAGGTAAGTTTAGGAATTAAAGTTAAAGGAGCTGTGAAACCAATTGGGTCATATATTTTCTGAGCTGCTGATAAAATTTGTCGTTTAGTGTAGGGTTCTTTTATTTGAACTGGTTCGGTAATTTTGCAATTTAAAGTGTCTTTTTGTGTATCCCAGATTAGCCCTAACACATGTACAAACTGTGGTTTACTTTCTGTACTGTCGATCATCGGAACAGACATGTTTGATCGCCAGCATCTCAAATTAAAATGTGCTGAGGACAAAATTTCTTTGGCTTCACTAATAAACTTTTCGGTTTCTTCGATTTGATCTAAACTAACCAGAGAATTGTCAATATAAAAAGAGTCTTTTAAAATCCGTGAAGTTTCACTTAAATGTCCGGGAACAGCATTCAGCAGATGATTTAAAGTCGCTGCTAGCAGAAAAGGACTGGATGTAAGTCCAAACACAACGCGGTTGTGCCTGTATATCTTTAAATTCTTGTCTGAGTCGAACCACAAGAATCTTAAAAAGTCACGATCTTTGTCTGCGATTTTTATTTGGCAGAAAGCCTTTTCTATATCTGAAGACAATCCAACCTTATATTTTCGAAATCGATTTAATATGCTAGGGACTATTTCTATTAAGTTGGGACCCTTAGCGAGGCAGTCATTTCTTGAAGAGGGGTCTTTTTCGCGAGCAGAGGCGTTAAAAACTGGCCTGGTTTTTGTGGTCTCGCTCGATTCTTTGAATACCGGCCTGTGGGCTAAAAAGTGAACCCTTTCTTCCTTTTCGTCATTTACCACTTCAATTATTTTATTAGTTTCCCAATAGTCAAATATTTCTTCGTAATCTTTCTTTTTATTCGAATTAACTAATTTAGTTTCAGTTTTGAATAGGGACTTTTCAGCAATAAATCGGTTACTTGGCAAAACAGAACTGTCAGTAATCCAGGGCAAAGACACTTCATACCTTCCGGTATTGTCTCGTTTTACAGTTTCTAAGAAATGTTTTTGGGTCTCTTCTTCTAACATACTTTTAGTTTTGTTTTCCTCACTAGAAATGCCTATTGTGTCTAAACGCCATAATTCCGACAATTTCGCGTCAGAAACATGTAAAGATAAGGAGAGGCCTGAAAATGTGCTATCCGAAATATCAGTGTCACTTCTTTTCCCCATTAATGTCCAGCCTATCTTAGTCTCAAATGCTGCTATGCCAATATCTGGGAAATGCTCTATTCTTTCAGTGAACAGCTGTGCAACATTATCTGCCCCCAAAAGTATATGAATTTCATCCGGGCTATCTTGGAACAAACATCGATTTTCATTTTCCTGAATGTCACTTAAAATTATCCCTTTATTTCTTAAAAGACCAATTAAATTTTCATCTTGAACCCTTGGGACAGAAGAGCAGATTTTCTTTTCATCTAGGACCTCAATATCAAAACTAAAATTTCCCTCGAAGCTACTAATGTTCAATTGATAACGATTGTGTAGCTCTGATTTCTCTACACCTCCAAACAGTCCATGCTTAACAACTTCGGAATTTATCTTCTTTAATTTTAACCTTTTTGCGGCATACTGGGAGATATAACTGTTTTGACTACCAGTATCGATCAGTAAACGGCAATAGCCCTTTAAATCACCTCCTTTTATCCCCACAATAAGTGTCTGTAAAAATACTGGGGAGTATTTAATTTGATTTGAAAGTACTTTTTCGCTATCTTGAGTTTCGGTTTTATCATCGGCATTTTTATTTTTATAACACATAATCGATACATGTCTGAACCCACAATAATTGCATGTAACTTTTGAAACACATTTCGAAGCTACGTGACGATTTTGTAAACATCGAAAACAAATTCCTTTTTTCTTTAATAACGCAACCTTTTTTTCATTACTTAAAGTCATCGCGAAAGAACAATCTTTTGAATCATGTAAAATATCCCCTTTTTTATTCTCACAGAAAAAACAACAAAAAGTTTTATCTTTTACGTTTGTGGATATTAATTCAGAAGTTGAAAATATGTTCTTTTCTTTTTTATCATAACTCTTTTGCTGGTATTTTGTTTTCGAAGACCCGATAGAGTCAATGTGTCTGCGATTCGTCTCAAATTTCCGAGAAGGGAGCGGCTGATTGACTACTAATTCATTGGTGTTATTTTTTATTATTTCCGCTCTTTCTCTTATATGCAAAATATCAGAAAGAAAAGTGAGCAATGTGTTTATATCATTATAAGCACTTTCGTTTGTGGTTTTATCCATTTGAATTAAAATGTCTCTGGGTAGGGATTTTAATATCGTAGTACACAATACACTAGATAAATCTTTTATTGATTGACCCAAATTTTCTAAACTTCTTAATTCAATATTTATTTTATCATAAAATTTTCTAAAAGCAAACACATCATTTGAATTTCTTAATGGTTTAATGTTGAGAATATTGTTCATGTGTGTGTGTATCAACAAATCAGTTTTTGCAAATCTGTTTTTTAATAAATCAATAGCAGTATCGTACGTAGTATCAGATATAGGTAAACCTTCAATAGAACTAAGGGCAGTACCCGATAAATGTGCTTTAAGATAATGGAATTTTTCTACTTTATCTAAACACTTATTGTTGTGAATAGCAGACTCGTAACTATTCCAAAATGTTAACCAATTGTTTACATCACCATAAAATTTATTAATAGTCATTTTAGGGAGTTTGACTCTTAAATAATCATTAGATTTAAATTCACAAACACTTTCAGAATCAAGAGAAGATGTTTCGTTTACACTAGCAGAATTAGTAGTTAACTTTTGTTTTTGTTCGTTTATTCTTTTAGTGGCGCGAATTTTCGTGCGAACCACTTTTTGGCGGTATTCTTCTGATTTTGAGAATTCCGCCTCAAATTCTTCTACTTTAAACAACCTTTCTAATTCTGAATCAATCTTAGTTAACCCTTTCGCGCCGACTGTCACTAATACGTGACAGCATAAAACAGTATCAATCAGGGTAAAAAGATAAAACTGGTAATCAAAGTAATTCTTTAGCAGTTTATTTGTGGGCGGGGTTATAATTGCTTGATTTATTTAATTCACCACTACTTAGTTCAAAATAAAATTATTTAGTTACACTTTGAACTAACATTAATTATATATACGATTTAACTAACAATAATTAAATTCAAAGCAAAGTAAGTCTGTCAAATTAGCAATGCTTACATTTAAGCTACCGTTTTTTATTTATTTACATCCTGATTCTGATTTTGTACGAATGCTTTTATGAATCAGCCGTCCCCAAGGGGTTAAAGAATCAAAGTTACTAATTAAAAATTCTAAAGTTTCTTCTAAATCACCAGTATTAATTTGTTCTAATTTCAAAAGTTCATCAATTTCGTTAATTTGTTTCGTTACAGTAGCTCTTAGAGAACTTCGTTTTTTCTTTATCTTAGCTATTTCGTCAGTAGACATGTTTCTTATATTTATATATATAACAGTATTCTAATATGAATAAACAATTCTAATTCTAAATGATTTACTGTTTATCTATACTGCTATTCTATATTCTATTATTCACAATGTAAATTCTTTATTATTTATCATCAAATATACTATACTAAATACGCCGTCCGGGCAGGGATGCCAAATGTTCTTTACTGGTGGCGTTACTACTTCAAACAATGAAATAAAGGTAAGGTTTCACTTACCTTGCTGTTCTTAATAATATTCGAAGCTGAAACGTCAACCTGAGATTCTATTACCGGGTTGGCAGAAACAATATATTTAATAATAAATATCTAAGTACGAATGAAGACCAAGCTAATTAATATTTTAGTGTAATTTAATAAACATAACGATAAAAGATGAACAACAAAAGTAGATGAATAATAAAAAAAAGTGAAAAGCGCCAAGCGCTTGTATCAAGTGACCGTTCACATTCAAATTGTTCTTAAAAGTTATTGAGTCTTATTCGTATTCGCTAGGGGGCTCTCGCATCTTTCGATGAGGCTGCAACAACCTGAGTGCATCAGAAGTTCTGGGTTCGAATCCTGGACAATGCATGGATGCTCTTTCATTGTCTGTACTTACTGTTTGAGCAACGTTGGCCCCACATAATATGATGTCCCTATAAGAGTGGCCATCAAATTTGCCCTTCAGATCAAGACTGAAAGCCATTGTATAACTAGACGAAAAGGAGCAAAAACTTGTACGAAAGACTTTTCATTTTAGCATTTTTTTCTTGAAAAATAAAATATCGGTAACTATCCAGATTTCTTTCTTAGTTTTAAAATATATGTAAAACTGCCTCTTTTCCAAGATAAAGTAGATATTGTTGAATAATTTTGAAGAAAAATAAATAAACTCCTGCCGAAAACTAGCAATAACTTGAAATGGTTTTACTACCAGCCTTTCCTCTTTTCCCTCTCGCTTTCAACCCTACTTCAGACGTCTGTTTGTTCATTCCCCAGGTGGTCATTGCAGAAAAAAAACGTTAACACCTGCATCTGGGGTTAGAAAATAAGCGTAACTTGAATTTTCTCTGCTTCAATAAAGCAGAAAGTAATTTAGCGCTTACAAGATGGAAGAAGCATATTTCAACTTTACTCGCAATTAAAATAAGTTTTGTATATGAATATAAATGTTGCAAATGTACTATATTCCGAATCAAATTTGCTCAACGTATCATCTCAATTTACATACTAATTTACGAAAAAAGAAATACTTAAAACTACCAGTAATTTTAAAATTTTAACTATATAAAGTAAAAACTTTATCAAGAAACATCATTCAATACACCTTAATAGTACATTGTAGGGAGTATTTAAAATGGTCATAAAGGTGGGCGGAGTCGTTCACCTGAAATGATCGAGATACTAAAAAGTAGAAAGGTGGTCTGAATAAAACTTTTCTGTCATCGTTACTTCTGCTTACGAACTTATAAGACAAACGTGAAAGGTTGCAATTACACCTACGTCAGCCTCAGACTTTCCCAGTAAAAAGTAACGCCCACTTTATTTATTTTCCCGAGAAACTGAAAGTAGTGTACTTACAGCTGTTCAATTCAATGTCTACGAGAAGTTCTTTACTAATAAAAATCATTAAAATAAGCAAAAAGAAAAGGGTGAGGCAGAATTAAAACTTCTTCAGACAGACGTTATGAAAGGTTTCACTGTTTTTATCAACTAAGCACAGCCAATTTTCAAGATATTTTTCTAAGCAGTCAGATTAATTTTGAGAAAATTTGCATGGAACTTACAAAATTCGAATGCCTTCAAAACGCATCGTGTAAAAATTATTTTCTGGCAAACATCAAAATTTTGAATTTTCCTATATTCTTTGATTATTTCTTATAGAATAAAATGGCAATAAGCTTTAATCGTTCTGGAATATCAGAAATTAGTTTTTTTTTTATTGTTCTCATACTACTTACTAAGTTTTACTTACTCATACTATCCTTCGGTTTTTCAAACATATAGGAGTTAGTTATTATAATGTTTTATTTTTACTTCCTGAATCCTTAAATATAATGAAATATCAAAACATTTAAATAATATAATGATTTCAAATAAATTTGAGATTGCTAGTTCATGGATTTAAAGCCGATTAATTTAAATCAGAATTTTAATTTGCCAATTAAAAAAAAAAGATTTGAATCCAATCTTTTTTTCTTTTATCTCTGATTTAAAATTTTTAAGCATTATATTATGAGATCATCAAAATTATGAACAATTTAAAGAAAGGAAAGCAGGAGATTTTCCTCCCTTTAAATTGTCCCTTCCTTTAAATTTATGAACAATTAAAAGGAAGGAATTAATTTAAATTAGCTGAATTTTATATTAAAAAACCCATTGATGTAAATTAAACGATTTTTTTAATATCTCTGATTTAAATTTTTTAAGCATTTTATTATGAAATCATTAAATTTTTTTATTTATTTTAATAGCTTTAAATTTTATTTTATTTCTCATAAAGCATATAATAAATTTCACATTTGGATGGCAGATGCACACACCTAGGTTAAACATTTCAAGGCGGTTACTAATTTTGAGAAAAATCTGCTGAACGTTTTGGTTTTAAATGTTAGATACCTCTTTCAATGTGTCTCTTTCTATCTAAGAATATCCGTTTGATTCTTTTTTAGCAAGAATATAACAAATTTTAACGACAGATGCACACACATGTAGTAAGCATTTTATGCCGGTTTCTATTTTTGAGTATTATCTGCAGAACAACTTAGTTTTAAGTGTTATCCGTTTTTCTCAATTTTCACTTGGTACGCAAGATTACTCAACTTCTAATGAATATAAAGCTGGGTAATTGGCTTGAATACAGTTGCTTGAATTCATAGTGGTAGCGCTTAAGAATTGGTAAATATTTTATATACACTATTCAAAGCAATTAAAGTATATTGAGGTTGCTGGTTGATCTTGCACCTGCGGAATTGTTTGAATGATTGATACATTATCGACAGGCGCAGCAGATATGCCTACTTGCTCCGGACAGCAAATAAATATTTTAAAATGGTAGTTTATCAATTGTGATTCGTGGTTTAATAAATTCAATTTAAAACATTTTATCTACCACTATTTCTAAAAAATCCGTTTATATAATTAACCAATTTATCGTAGTTATGTCACGCTATACCTTTCAAAAAGCAAGCAAAAAAAGTCAAATATATTATTAAAATTTAGTTTGTAGCTATTTACTGTTTTTTTTAATTATTTTGGCGTGTCCGGAGCAGTTGGCATCTCTGACGTAGTAGGCTCTATCAGATAAAACTGAAA